TAATAATAATAGCACCCAAAACAAAGAGATCATATTGTTTCTACTTTCTCTACTTCAAAACTAAGGAAATTCAAATATGATCTAGAGAGAGAGAGAGAGAGAGAGAGAGAGGGGTAGAGAGAGAAAATGGTGAGAGCTCCATGCTGCGAAAAGATGGGACTGAAGAAAGGGCCATGGTCAACTGAAGAAGATCAGATTTTGATCTCTTTTATTCACAAACATGGCCATGGTAACTGGCGAGCACTCCCCAAACAAGCAGGTATTATACATACATAATATGTATATATATATATATAGTTGATCAAGTTAAAATAATTAATATATATATTGATGATATGTTAGTAATAAATAATAATTTGAAGGGCTGTTGCGATGTGGGAAGAGTGCAGACTGCGATGGACAAACTATCTGAAGCCGGATATTAAGAGAGGGAATTTCAGTGAAGAAGAAGAAGAAACCATTATCGAATTGCATCGATTACTTGGCAACAGGTGTGCGCGTGTTTTTCTGCATGTATTTATATATATTTTTTTCCTTTTTTTTTTTTTCGATATATACTTGCTCTGTTTTTCGATTATCTATAGTTCTAGTAATTTAATGAATTATTAGTTACAAGTTACAACTATACAATTTTTTTTACACGATTTTACTTATATTAATTCTCTAATATCACTAAATTTAATTGCATTTCAGTCCTTTTCATATTTCTTTTACAAAAGATTAATGCATATTTTGAAAGTAAAAAAAATAAAAATGTTCTGATAAAAGTATAAAAGTAAAGTATGACAATTATTAGACTTATTATATTGTCACATGATGAAAATAGGAACGCCACTTTAATTTCTGCAATTATTCGTCATCCCATGTTGGATGACTCCTCAATTTCATCCCAATTTTTTGGTTTTAATAAAAGAAATATATTATATATTGATTAATTATATGAAAAAATATATTAAACAAAATAATTTTGTTCTAAATTGAAATTGTAAAACGACACATAATATAAAATATTTTTTTTCCTCGATGAAATGCTTAAAAGAAACGAGTAGAGTACCCTTAAAGTGGTATTGCAAACGTTTTTTGAAATAAATTATAAGCTTTTTTTTTCTCTTATTATTTGTTTTTAGGTATTTACAAAATGACATTTTACTTTTATTTCTGCTTTTAAATAAGCATTTGCAAACACCTTGTGGTGAAGTTTAAGATTTTTAAATTATATAAATCAATATTTTATTATTAATATTTATTTTTTGCAATTTGGCAATTTTTGAGCTAAAAATATCACCACTTTTTTTACTACGTCATCAAAATTATTTAAAAGTCTTAATCAACTTGCAGTCACACAAGACTAGCAGACAACATGTAATTAAATTATTTCCAACTTCCAATTAAAAGTATTAAAAAAAAAAAAAAAAAAACTCATGATCACATATGTGACAAATACAATGTCATTTTATATCTCTGTCTAAAACTATTTAACTAATATTAATAATAAAATAATATTACTACTTGATCCCTTCTCTGTACCCCGTGCATGTTGGAATTTAGCAATCGAATAATCAAGAAATGCTGATTTGATTCTCTAATATTGCATTAATTAAATAATTAGTTAAATTATTAATTTTATTTAGATCTGCAGAATCATTAAATGTTGGTTAGGACAACAATGCACGCAGTGTCTTATTATTTTAAATAATTTAAAATCAGGCACAAGATTTAATGTTTTTTTCACCCCCAGTGATAATTAAAAACTACTATTAATTAAAAAATAAATATTTATTATATTTTTAAATCTATTTTCCAGGTGGTCTGCAATTGCAGCAAGATTACCGGGAAGAACAGACAATGAGATAAAAAATGTTTGGCACACACATTTGAAGAAAAAAATAAAGAATTACCAGTCTTCTCAGAACTCCAAGAGGCAAACAACTATTTCTATTTCCAAATGTGACCCCAAAGTTTTGGAAAATTGCAAATTGGACAAGAATAATGTTACCAATAATAGTAGGAGCCCAAAGCAATGCTCGAGCGAGATGTCGACCGTGACGGATTCGTCGGTGGAGAAAACTAATGTGAAGAATGAAGAGATTGATTACTCGTCCGAGTACTTTCCGCATATTGACGAGAGTTTTTGGTGCGAAGAGTTGTCGAGGGACGATGCTGATTGTCCGAGCTTGGTTGAATTTCCTGCGGCGGAAAGTATGGAAGATTTGAAAATTGATGATAGCATGGATTTTTGGTACAATCTTTTTATTAGGGCTGGAGACATGCCAGATTTACCAGAATTTTGAAGGTTTTTTTTTTCAATTTGGAAACATTTATGTATTAGGGAGTTTGGAATTTTGATTTTTCCATGTGGGGGGGCATCTTTGACCTTTCAAGATTCAAATCATGGGGGTGAAGATTTTCAAGGGTGTGCAAGACAAAATAAAAGGTGAGTGGGGGTGATATGACAATTTCAGAAAAGTTAGGGTTTGACTTAGAAATTGTGGTTTTGTACATTTAGATTGGAGGGCCAGGTAGAAAAATAGGGTCATTCTTGGCTAAATCCTAGTCATGCTTAGCAATGTTTTGTTAGTCAAAAGTTTGATATTTGCCTTTAATGCCCATTTTTTCTTTTAAATTGTGCGACTTCGCTTTGAGTTAAGCTTATTTTAAACAGTTGATAAACTCTTTTTTATAATTATTTTTCAAGTGTTAGAATAATGAACTTATAACCCAATTATAGTCTTTATAGGATCATAGGTATATTTTTTTGAATATCTTAAAAACTCTCCAGCAGCTTAGTTTTTTGAGCTTTTTAAGATTTTTTGATAAAAAATCACCAAACAATTTTGAAGAACTTATAAGCTCTTAAACATCTTATAAACTAAGGAAAATTACAGCCACTCCCCCGAGGTAAGGATAATTACGAAAAAATCCCTCTTGTTTGCATAATAACAACCATCTCATCAACTATGTATTGTCTTACACGTCCGCCCTTACGATGTCAAATTTACCTAGGGATGCTCATCCGGTCGGTAAACCTATCAAATCGAGCGGAACAAAAATCCGTACATACCGATTACCGAGTCGTTAATTCGGTGTAATACTCAGTTTTATTTTATTTTATATATGTATCTATATATATATATATATTATATATATGTAATATTAGTATTTAAACTAAAATTAATTAAAAAAAGTCAAAATTTTTAAATATTTTTAATAAAATTTTGGTAATTCAGTTATTTATTGAACCAAACGCTAAACGGTATGAAATTTTGGCATACCGCAATTGTGTACAATTTTACCCAATTGAACGCCTCTAAATTTATCAAGTGGAGGGATTTTTTTTCGTAAAATAATACATAGTTGAGGCAGTGCTTGTAATTATGCAAACATAAATGGTTTTTTCATAATTAGACTTACCTCAAGGGTGGTCGTAATTTGCCCTACAAATAATTTTGAAGAACTTAGAAGCTTAGCCAAACACCCTCTTCGAATGATTTAGCTCCGTGTACGGCTCTTTTCTCTTGGTGCTACTATTCTCGAAACAGGGGAGAATATATATAGGCCTAGCTTAACCAGTCGGAGTAGAACAGGAGAACATCAAAGGAACCGATCCCCAAAATCGTGGAGAGACGAAAAAAAGATCGAAGGACGAAGAGAAAAAGAGGAACTATCCCCCAATTGTAAATTCTCCACACCATTCATAATTTACCATACATATTTAAGCCCATGAAAACAAAGTCTCTTAATAATGGATAAATATTCTCATACACAGTCAATATAATCTCCACCATTAATGATTTAGACAAGAAATAACATTTGTCTTTATTATTAAAAACTGCAGCTTCTTTCTATAAAGGGCAGCCAGGCGAAAATTGCAAACTGTTTTTGCGTCGGTTAAATCAAAATTACGAGAGGCAAGAATATGCCAGAGCTTTCTCCTCACTGAGCTCTTCGGCTGTCAAATCCAACTTCTTACGAGAAAATTCGTCAATTGGAAGCCCTGTAATGTAGTTAAACATGTATGTATACACGTTATTCGTCTAACGCTTCAGAAATTTGGATGTTTTTTTCTTTTTGAGATAAATTAATTATATATTTATAGATAAATACTGACCTTGCACGATGGACCATTCTCCGTTTTTGCAAGTAACTGGGAAGGAGTAAATGAGTCCAGCTGGTACATTGTATGACCCATCAGAGTATACACCCATCGAAACATAAGTACCCTGCAAAAATACAAAACAAGATTACAAATAGAACACATTTGACGGTTCCATCAAATTAGAACGGGATTTCCAAATTCCGCCGATTCGAATCAGAATATTTCTGATTATGGAACAATATTTTCCATTCCAATTTCAGATTTTCTTTCTGGGACGGGATTTGAACATAATTAGATTCTGTTTTCTGATTCGATTTTAATTTCCGAATTTATTTTTTTCCGAATATTACACTTATAATATCAATATTATTACGTATTTTGTATTATAGGTGACTAAAAATTTGGAAATTATGAACTCAGCCGATTTCAATCCAAAAATTCCAATTTTGGAACGAGTTTTTTCATAACAATTTCTGAAATTCTGATTCACGATTTTTCTGATTTTTTTTTTGGAACAGAATTTGAAAAAGGTTTTCACTTCCGAAAAAAATTGGATTTTTTTTCTGACGGTGCTAATTCTAATCTAATCCGTTCGATTTACACCCCTGGTCGATCTAAAGCAGCCAAAAACTAAAATATACATGTATATGTATATGTATGTATGTATGTATGTATGTATGTATGTATGTATATATATATATATATATATATATATACAAAAAAGAAAAAGAAAAAAAAGATTACCTCTGGAGTTCCAAGGACCCAGTCACGAATATGGTCACAAGCAGAACTAGCAGCAGAAAGTGCACTGGATAACTTTCTAGCCTTGATAATAGCAGCACCACGTTGTTGTACAGTACTTATGAATTCTGTATTCAACCTTACAAAAAATTTAATACGAAAAGGAGTCAATAAAGTTTAATTCCATAAAATACATACAGGGTAATGTGACAATCGAAAAATTTAAATTAAATCAAAAACTTATATATGTACCATTCATCATCAGCAACGAGCTCACGAACAGGCTTCTCTCCAGCTGGAGTCTTGACGGTAGCATGGTTGACATCAGGGTACTGTGACGAGGAGTGATTTCCCCAGATAATTACGTTTTTGACATCGGAGACTTGAACATGCAATCTCTCCGACACCTGTCCAAGAGCCCTGTTGTGGTCCAACCTAGTCAAACAAGAAATGTTCTTCTCTGGGATGGATGGCGCAAATTCTTTCAGGATCAATGCATTGGTGTTTGCTGGATTAGCAACCACCAGAACCTGAGGCGAAGAAATGCAACAAGAATGAATATTGGAAATGCCAAAACAGAATTACTTCATAAAAAACTAAATCATTTTTCTTTTTTTTCTTTTTCTCCCCCCTTCTTTTTTCTCCTAAGCGTACTTTTTGGATCCAAATTTCTTTATCAGAATCATTTTATTATTTATCCTAATGATTCTAATCAAAATAAATTTTGGGCGCACAGAAAGAATTTATATTCTCCAATGATATTGTGGAAATTCCATTTTCTCTAGGATCAATATATTGTCTAGAAGAAAAAAAAAGGAAAAATATAGTAAAATGTCAGAATTGACGATCAATTCATTCAACATTTCCCTTTTTAGAGGACAATTTTTTACGATAAAAAGAACGAGAAATTGATGAATAATCACCTTGCAGTTAGCAGCAGCATGCTTCTCGAGAGCAGAAGCTTGGGACTTGTAGATAGAGACATTCTTGGACATGACATCTTTCCTCTCCATACCTTCTTTCCTCGGGAATCCACCGACCATAATGGCAACATTGACACCCGTGCAAGCTTCGACAACATCAGTTGTTGCAACAACACCTGATACAAACACCACAAACGAGACGTGAGTTGACAACATTTCGACTAAGTTGGTGTTTTCATAAGCCTTTCAAAAGAGACGAGCTTTAAATTGTTGGGCTTTTGGCACATAATCTATTTGAGGGTATTTCCAAATGCAACTTTTACTTTTGTTTCTCTTAAAATAAGTTGTTTTAAACAGCTCTTTTGGGCTTAAATTTGTACTATACATGTGTGTCGTTAATTTTCATGACATTTGCAAACACCCCAACTTTTAGAAATAAGCAATTATTCGTAGCTTTACTCACAACCACCAACTTCTACTTATTTAAAAGCTTTTGTATAAACCACGTAAATGTCATATAGCATATAACAAGTCAAATGAAATGATATTTCTCCAAAAAATTAAGAGTATCGACCTTTAAGAAGGGGAAAAGCTGCATCAACCAATTCCATTTTAACTCCGTTAAGCGCTTCTGCAGCTGGTGGAATATCCAACATGTGAAGGATCACAGGCTGGTCTGCACCCAACATCACTCCCCTAGCAACCATAGGAACCAGAGCATATCCGATTTGTCCTGAAAAACCAATAAAATATCACTAAGTAATCGAAGAAATCCAGCAAAAAAAAAAACTAGAACAACTTATTGAACATATACTTTTTTTCCTAGAACAACGAAGTAGTGGCATCAAACAAACTCGGTCGGAACATTTTCCCATTAGCATGCCATTACATAAGCTTAGTTCACATATAAAAAGAGAAAGAAAAAAAAAGATTCCGGTTTTCAACAAGAAAGTAAATCCCTAATCCAATAAAGACCGAAAAAAACTTCGCAGACCAAATTTAGAACTTCCACTCCATTTTTAACTCAATTCTCACAATAGATATTGCACTGAGGCCTAAAATCTTCAGAAAATAGAGGCAAGCAAAAGCCGCCACAGCCATAAAATCTGTCGTCAAGTTTTTTTTTTTTTTTTCTTTTTTTATAAGTTATACGAGTTTCATAAGAAGTAAACTAACTCAAACAAATCGCAGATCTTTTCCAAATCAAGTGTAAAATTCCCAGTCAAGTCTAATACTTCAGCAAATCAAATTACAAACCCTTCACTCATCCACGGAAAAAAGGCAAAATTTCAAAGTAAAAAATAACCGAGATTCAGGTGTGAATTAAATTGATCAACAAAGTATAAACTCAAAACTATTGCAGAACAAGCAACCGATTCATCGGAATATTCAATCCAAATACATCGAAATCAAAAAACTAGATAGCAGATATCCACGATCCAATCAATTAAACACAGATGATAAGTATATCAAATAAAAATTCGAAAAAAAAAAAAAAAAAGCAGATCTGAGAAGAAGGGCTGTGAATTGAGCGGCGTACCGGCGGCGCCGGTGACGAGAACGCGGATTGGATCCTTGGCCATTTGTGCGTAGTAGATCTGTGATCTGAAGAAAAGAAAAAAATCGATGAAAACGAAGAGAGTTGTTTTGAATATTTCGAGAAATGGAGTAGTTCAGCCATGGTGGGGAGTGTGATGATATTTATCACTGAGATTATTTGACTTCTGCCAGGGAAATTTTCCGTGTGCCAGGCTGCTATACGGTGTCGTTTTTGTTCGGCAATATTGTTAGTTTTGTTATTTGAATAAATAAATGAGAAATGAGAAATAGGGTAAATTACAACCATCCCCTAAGGTATGGTCAAATTACGAAAGCCCCCCACTTGTTTGGATAATTACAACCACCCCCTCAACTCCTCAAATTTAGTGGAATCTTCGAGATTATATGGAATATTATCACTTTTGCACCCGTTTTATCCCATTCGAACTCTACATTTTGAAGCAAGATGATCATAATATGAGTTTTTTGGCTTGTGTACATCAGATTGTGGTGCATCAGAAACTGTATTTTTACACAAAACGAGTACAAACTAGAGCACATTCCACAAAATCTAGATGATTATGTTGAATATGACACCATAAGGGTGGAGGTGTAAGAAAAAATCATAGTTGATGGGGTATATGTAGTTATCCAAACAAGAGGGGTTTTTTTGTAAATTGACCATACCTCAGGGGGGTGTTTGTAATTTACCCTAAGAAATAAGAAAGGAAAAAAAAAAATGAATCATATAACTCTCTCGTGTGGGTTTTGTCGTAACTCGTAAGCATATAAATTATCTATTTGTATAAATATTATTATTATTATTATTTTATTATTATACATTAGATATATTCTCATCTCACATTAAAATGCCTCTAACGGTTGATGAAAGGTGACTTTCATGAGTGGTTCACATATAAAATAGCCTTTCGTTTTCTTTATTTTATTTTATTTTGCTAGTTGAATTGGAAATAAATTTTAATTCATAATGATTCAATAATTTTAACAAAAAAGTCCACTAACATGGTTTTGAATGTTTTTTGGCCCACTAGGGCCAAGCAACGGTAGACCTAATAAGCCTACATTTGGAAATTAATGGGCCCAATAGTTGAGAAAATTTTATTGTGCCTCTCTTCTATCTACACAAAATTGGTGGTCAACTTATCATATCGTACGCAAGCTTGCACCAAGGGAAATTCCTTACACCAAGGGAAATTCCTCGCCCCCGGGGCCCCTATCCCTTGGCCCGATAAGGATTGATGGAGGAATGTAAATCATGGTAACTCAACGGCCCGTTAAGGTAGTGGACCCGGACCTGGTGCCCACAAGGAACCAACTCTTATTGGAGTTGAAATTCTCACACTGCGGCTGCCCGGATTCGATCCTAGGACCTTGCACCAACTTACCACCTCCGGAACCAGTTGAGCTACACCCATGCAAGAAAGAGTTATTATACGCAAGCTATTTTACGAGAATAGTGGTCAGCCAACAATTAACAAAATTTTCAAGAAAAATTACAGACGATGGGGATCAGCCGGCAGTCGGCACTAAGTGGGCTGAACTCCCCATCTCAAAAAACTGTTGGGGGCCGAAAGTTGCACAGTGGGCCAGAAAACCAATAAACAAGGAAGACGGAGTGGTCATGAGATAAGAGATCAGTAGTAAGGAGTTCGTAAATATATCTCAGTTCACGAACTAAATGGCCAATTGACAAGGTTCGCTAAATAAGTATGAACTCACAAGAGAGAAAGAGCGGTCGGTGGCGAGTTCGAAAGCAGTCTAAAGAAGATTTGAGGATAATTTCCATAAACGAATGAGGAAAGCAAGACTTCAATGATGGGAACAACCTCCGCATTCCAGCGCTCCAATGAAGTGGTCGATACGTCGGGAGGGAGTTACATTCATAAATGTAAAAATCGGACAAATAAAAAAAGGTCACGGATTAAGGAAATAACCATATACAATTCGCTATATAAACAAATGTAAGAAACCCTACTGGCGTTACATACATTATACATACAATAGATAAAACATTTTATACTTTCTCACGAATTCTATCTCTTTCCAGTCTTCCCATTATCTTGTTCATCTCGATCAACCCTAATTAAAACTATTATAAGATGAACTTAATTAAAACAACAAGAACCCAACATCACAAATTCCAAGTTTTGAAGTATATAGTATACACACACTTAATAAAACTTGCTTACAAAGAATTTAGACTCCAACAAACAAATCCCACACGACGTTTATTTTACCACACGTGTATTAAAATCGAAGAAATTCATCAACCCTTCAAAAAATCGGGCATCCAAAAGAAAATAAAAAATATAAATAATAATAATAAACCCGTTAATCTCTGCATCAAATTCTTCAAACCTCTGCAAATCAAAGCAATTTTTAATTTTTTTTTTAATTTTTGAAATTTTTTTAAGCACTTCGTTTAAGCATCTCCTCAAACTCGACAATCGATCGCTCTCTTTCAAGCTTCATATCGAGGCGAAACTTAGCTATGAATTCCTCCGCTCTTTCGTCCACACCTCGAAATTGTGGAATTTTCCATTTATTTATAAAAGCTGGACCAGAACTTTTGCTTTTCTCATCAACAGCTTTTGCTTTTCCTTTCCAAGCAGCTTGTGAGCTCTTTTCATCACTCACGGGAATTTTTACAAACACTTTATCTACATGCTGGATTTGAATCTTTCCGCCATTATTATGATCATCGGTTGATGCATTGGATCCAGGCCTGGATTTATCGACACTTACACCAATAGTATTTCTTTGTTCATCCATGTTTTCTTTGGGTTTTCTTGGTTGATGATGATAAGCTGCTAACGGGCGGACAGGCCGTGAAAAAAGTTCATCCACGTGTACGGCGGGGTGGTTGCTGCTCCGGTGGAAGTGGCGGCGGCGGGAATGAGGCGGGGCGAGAAACTTCCGCCGGTGAAGAAAACGGGAGATGGGTCGCCAAGCCGCCACACAATACTGCCGGAAAGTTGCGATCTTTGCGGCGAGTTTTGGGTGGCGTAATTTTGATCGGAGATGGCTTTTGAAGCTCTTCCACGCTTTTCTAGCGTGATGGAGCTTTTTTGACAAATTGAAATTGGACATGCAAATTGTTTTTTATTTGGGTAAATATATATTAAATTAATCAGAGAATTTGAGAGGGATTGCTTTGATTTGTGGGATGAATATTGATTGAAGCAAATGAGAGAAAGGAATAACATTTATTTGCATGCACCTTTGGTATCAATTAATACCTAAGGGTGTTTACTATGTTCGTAAACCGATCGAACAGTACCGAATCGAAAATTCAGTTTGATATTCGTTAATTCTTTTTTTTTTAATTCCATCATTCGGTACGGAATACGGTAGTCATGTCCGGTATACCCTACCGTACGGAATATTTAATATTTATTTAAATTTTCGGCAAACGGAAATTCTGGCACAATTCAGTACGATTATACCTAATGAACACCCCTATCCATACCTTTCAAACTTATCCCAAAATGCCCAATATTGGATTTATCATTATTTTATAGTTAAGACTGCCTAATTCTTAAGCAAACTTTTGTTTTGGAGAAGAATTCATATAAATCTAGGTACCTAACTTTGATTTGAAATGTCATACAAAAAAAAAAAATTGATTTTATGATATGATTGAAAGTTGTATAAAGTCCGGTGGCTGCGCAGCCACCATGTGTGGACAAGCCAGCCGGATGACTTTCCAAGTTGTAAAGTTGAAAGGCGAAAAGGAAATATGGCATTTCCTTATCATTTTCGCTTCCTTTACAGCTATATAAATTTTCAAATAAATCCATGAAGTAGCAAAGCCAGCATAAGGTTACTCGGCATAAATTTGGTAATTATCGATCAGTTATCGACTAAATCAATTAATTAATTTTGCTAAATATTAGAAATTATTATCGACTCTGACTTGTGTCGGTTGACAGTCAAGTTTGTCAGTTGTAAAATGGTCGACTGGTTGGTATTATCCATCACTTAATTATTTAAAAAAATCAATGTTTTTTGTTAATAATAACAATGACATTATATTTGTATTAAAAAAAATCAAAATATTGAGGAAAAAAAAATATATTACCTTAAAATTAAGGATATTTACTAAATCAATACAAGAAGTAGATAATATATAAAAAGGAATACGAAATACGAAATACGAAATGTGACATGTCTATAACTTTTTATTTTGATTTTTTTTACTTTTGTCTTCTTTTACAACTATAATTTAATCATGACAAAATTTTATTATTAAAAAAATCAGTTGGTCGTTAAGTCCTAATGGGCCTCAATCAACCTGACTAGTCGAAGGAAAATCTACTAAGGCCCAAAAATAAATTATAGCTAAGAGTGAAGGTTGGATCAGGACCAGCACGAAAAAGTCCGTTTCGGAACCAACATGAACGAAAATTCGTAACTTCGTTGATTTCGATATGAATTATTTTACTTATGCAATAAGTATTCGTCTTCATATCTGAACTTTTGATTTTTGATATGTTTTTTGGTTCAAAATTCGAATTATATATAACATATTTTCGCCCGCATGGGTGTAGCTCAGCTGGTTCCGGAGGTGGTAAGTTGGTGCAAGGTCCTAGGATCGAATCCTGGCAGCCGCAGTGTGGGAATTTCAACTCCAAATGAGGGTTGGTTCCTTGTGGGCACCAGGTCCGGGTCCGCTACCTTAACGGGCCGTTGAGTTACCATGATTTACATCCTCCATCAATCATTGTCGAGCCAAGGGATGGGGGCTCTGGGGGCGAGGATACACCTTTTGGTGCAAAAACACATTTATAGTACCTATACTATTATAATTAAATGGCTTGGGCCTGAACGACCGAACTGAATTTACTAACTGGATAGAGACTCAAAGTTAAACTCCAACCAACTAGTTCAATCTCTAAATCTTATATAAAAGAATTTCACAATCTCATATCGGTTGAATAGTGATGAAGAGTTCTAAAAAATTCTATAAACTCGAGATATGATCTACATCAAGGTACATTTACGTACTACCACATACTTAATTATTTTTTAACGTTAAAATATATTACCACGTTGTATATTAAAGGTGCCCCGTCAGTAGATTATCACCGGGAAAACTCTGACTTATACCTTAGTACGTTGTTGTGATGTAGGTTGGGCGACCACGTATTCTCCATTCGGTTGACATCAGTGTTCGTGCACAATGACCCTTACGACCCGATCAACTCTTTAATCTCGAGGGAACCTCGAACTAACCAACTTGACTGATGAGTGATCCTGCATCATATATATTTATATTATAAAGACGTATTCACTATTAACCAACTTTAGGTGGTGTTTGCAAAAACTTTTATAAATAGATTATGAACTTTTTATGTTCATAAATCATAATCTATTTTTAAGTATTTGTAAAATGAACTTTTGCTTTTGCTTCTCTTAAAATAAGTAACTTTAAGCTATAATTTGTTAAGCACCCATGATCCTACTTTTTCTCTATAAGTTTATTTTCCAGTAAATTTGCAAACATCCCCAACTTTTATAAATAAGCATTTAAAATCAACTTAACACATAATTTATAACTTTTGCTTTTAAATAAGCTTTTACAAACACCAGTCTACATCTCTCGTCCGGTATACGAGCTAGTGTACACTTGTGGAATTTATCTAATGCAATTAAAATAATTAATGTCAATAAAAAAAATGAAGCAAATGTCAACTTAAATAACTAGGTTAGGCGGTTATTTCATTTAAAGGTTAGTTCAGCAAATTTATTTAACTAGGTTAGCTAGTTAGGGATTTCCATTAATTTATTGCCAGCATCGAAAAATTGTCTGAAATTAGCAAATACCTAAACGACGTCGTTTCACGCAAGTCAACTGGATTATGTTTGTTCCCCTTTTATTATATATAAAAATAAAATTAAACTCTGTGAATCGTTGAGGAATTAATTAATTTAAAATTTAAACAATAATTTAGAAAATGAAAATAGTGATCATTGAATTTGAGAGAGCTGACTTCGGTAGAATTTCAAGATTGAGATCCGTTTAGAGAGAGAAACAAACCCCCATTTCAGTTATTTGGCTATGTGACAATGGCTACGGCGCTAAAATTTCCATCTTTATTGGTGGCGGTGGTTGCGGTGGCGGCGGCGATCCTGTCGATGAGCGGCGGAGATGCCCAGGAATCGGAGGCGGTGGCTGGAACGGCGCCGTACAGGATCCACACACTGTTCTCGGTGGAGTGTCAGAATTACTTCGATTGGCAAACGGTGGGCCTCGTGCACAGCTTCCGCAAAGCCCATCAGCCCGGCCCGATTACCCGTCTGCTCAGCTGCACTGATGAACAGAAGAAGAATTACGGTGGCATGGATTTGGCGCCAACGCTCGAGGTCCCTTCAATGAGTCTGCACCCCAAGACTGGTGATTGGTCAGTTCATAAACACACACACACACACACACACTTATATATATATATATATATATATATATATATATATATATATATATATATATATATATATATATATATATATATATATATATACAAGTCTCTTTGATTTTTCTCATTGTACAATGAGACATTTGATTCAAGAAACTAACTTACATTAAGGCCTTGTTTGGGAATATCGACGGGATTTAGTAAGATTGGTTGAATCGTAGAGCGGTTACATTACATTGTCCTATGATTATGTAATATGTGATTGTCTTATGTTTATGATGTACGATTAGACACTCTTTCGTATTGGGTAGTAATATTCATCGTATAGGATTGTGTAATAATAGGAGCTTATAATTGGGCCCGTTTTTAATCACGGGCTTCAAACACGAACGCCATACATTTGATAAATCTTGATTATATTGTCTATCACGCCCTATCATTATTGTCGCCTCAGTTACCGTTTGGTTTAGTGTTGACAAGGCCTTATAATAGTAGGTGTGTTCGTGTTTTAGTATGTTCGAGATTTGATTTCTTTGTCGTGTCGTATTGCTTTCACTTGTTTCGATCAAGAAAGTGAACTTCCAATCCGTTTATGGCAGGTATCCAGCAATTAATAAACCGGCGGGTATTGTGCATTGGCTTAAACATAGTAAAGATGCCGAGAACGTTGATTGGGTAGTTATTCTCGATGCGGATATGATTATTCGAGGTCCGATTATACCATGGGAGCTTGGAGCAGAGAAAGGCAAACCCGTTGCTGCTTATTACGGGTAAGTAATAATTAATTGATAATTACTACGTATAAAAAGATTCTCGTTGGAGAATATTCCGTAAAGATTGGATTTCTATGGACAGGTACTTGGTGGGCTGCGATAATATTCTTGCTAAACTGCACACGAAGCATCCGGAAATATGCGACAAAGTTGGTGGGCTTTTAGCAATGCATATCGACGATCTTCGAGCTTTGGCGCCTATGTGGCTATCAAAAACCGAAGAAGTTAGGGCGGATAAAGATCATTGGCCTACTAATTACACCGGTGATATATATGGAATGGGCTGGATTAGTGAAATGTACGGATACTCGTTTGGTGCAGCTGAGGTAAACCTTTTTTTTTCCTTCTTAATTTCAACTCTTGTTAAGTGGTTTTTTAGTGGGCCCCACTCAATTAATTTATGTTGATTTAAATTCGTTGGACGAGTTGACGGTTGGGTTTAAGTATATTATGCTACTCGGTGCATGCTATACATGAAGATAAATGATAGTTTGTATATATTGTATACCTATGGGTGGAAATTGGAGGAATAGGATCGGAATTAACACTTAACACTCTTGGAGAGATTTCCAATTTTCTCGGATGTAAAAAACTAATTTAATTTTCCGTTCCTAGGAAAAGAATGAAAAATCGAGTTTTCAGAAATTGGAATGAAAAAACTTGTTCCAAAATGTTTAGTCTCACTTATAACACAAAATACATAATAATATTGATATTATAATTGTATTTTGTTTTGGAAAATAATCGATATTTTCGGAAATTAAAACCATATCGGAATCGAATATATATTCCACTTCCATTCCAAAAAAACAAAAAAATCGGAAAAATTAGGAATCGAAAAGATAGAAATACGAGTCTTTGTTTATGCATATATAGTGTTTTTATTTCTCAGCCAATAGATTAATTTCTTACCGATTTTTTTTTTCTTTTTTGTTGCTTAATTTATCAGGTGGGGCTTCGCCACAAAATAACCGATAATTTAATGATATATCCCGGCTATATCCCACGAGAGGGCGTGGAGCCGATTCTCATGCATTATGGCTTAACGTTTAGCATCGGAAATTGGTCCTTCAGTAAATTACAACACCACGAGGACAATATCGTCTACGATTGTGGCCGACTTTTTCCCGAACCTCCTTATCCTAGAGAGGTAAATTAATTAATTTATATTTATCGAATTTATCGCAAATTTTTGATTAAAGATTCAATTTTTTTTTTAATTTAATTTCTTGCAGCTGACTGCAATAGAAAGCGATCCAAACAAAAGGAGAGCACTGTTTCTAGACATAGAATGTATGAACACTCTAAACGAAGGTCTATTATTACATCACGCGGCACGCGGTTGCCCTAAACCGAAGTGGTCGAAATATTTGAGTTTTTTGAAGAGCAATAAATTCGCTGAATTAACTCGCCCCAAAAAATTGACCCCCAAAAGCCGTCAAATGATGGAAGTTGTAGTGAAGCAGCAGAAGCAAGAAGTTGCTGAGCTGGATAAGCAGAAGCAGAAGCAGGAGCAAGAAGCTGCTGAGCTGGCAAAACAGAAGCAGAAGCAGGAGCAAGAAGCTGCTGAGCTGGCAAAGCAGAAGCAGAAGCAGGAGCAAGAAGCTGCTGAGCTGGCAAAGCCGCACCCGAAAATACACACGCTTTTCTCGACAGAATGCACGCCCTACTTCGACTGGCAAACAGTGGGGCTTGTACACAGCTTCCACAAGAGCGGACAGCCTGGCGAAATAACGAGGCTGCTGAGCTGTACAGACGAGGACTTAAACAGTTACAAAGGGCACGATTTAGCCCCGACTCATTATGTACCGTCCATGAGTCGACATCCATTAACGGGAGACTGGTATTAATTCCTCGATTTTTCAAGATTTTTTCTTAGATTCTATAATCAATTTGCAGAGTGAATATTTTCATTATGAAGTAAGTAAGCCGAGTATTTGCTTTTCAGGTATCCTGCAATTAATAAACCGGCTGCGGTTCTTCATTGGATGAACCATGTGAAAACCGACGCAGAATATATAGTGATATTGGATGCTGATATGATTATGAGAGGACCGATTACGCCATGGGAGTTCAATGCGGATAAGGGTCGACCCGTTTCCACTCCCTATGAGTAAGACACTATCGGTTTTTTTTTTTTTTTTTTTTATAATTAATTTAAAAAAAAAAAAAATCATTTAAATTGTGTATTGAAGTATATGACCAACATAAGCGCTTCAAGTTTGTTGTCCTCGTTTTGGTCAGTAAGATAACCCATGATTAACTGAATAATTCGACTATCCAATTACTTTTGGGGCTGGCACAAAAGTTTTGGGAAGAATGGGCCGTTTTCTTGATTTATCGACGAATTAAATATTGGACGAGTCCTCCTAGTCGGATCATACTAATTGGCTCTTACCCCACCTAGTCCAATCATACACTTAGGCCTCGTTTGATTGGGGAGATTAGCCATTATTAACTAAATAATTGGACTTTATTTGATGTTTGGTATCCCCAATAACTTGTCGGGTCGACCCGCAGTTATTATGTTAATCTTGCCTTTTAGGCGCATGTTTTTTATTGGATCGTCGAAGGTCCAATAATATAATTGGGTTTCATTAGATTATTTAATCTTATCTTGGCAACCAAACGAGGCTTTTAGGTTCTAATAAGATTGCATAATCTTATCTTGGCTAATCTGGTCTTGTTAACTAAGGCTTCGCTTGCTTCCCAAGATAAGATTCATGCACATCTTACGAGAACCCAATTGTATAATTCGACCAAGGCCGTCTCGAAAAAGTTATGTCACTAACCAAACATCAAATAAGACCTAATTATTCTATTAATCATGGCTTATCTTTACTAACCAAACAAGGCCTAAATAAAAATATTACTTAATTCTACGACAGTTACTTGATTGGCTGCGACAACGAGCTGGCGAAAGCACACACTCGCCACCCGGAAGCTTGTGACAAAGTAGGAGGTGTGATAATAATGCATGTAAGGGATCTCAAGAGATTTGCGCTTCTTTGGCTCCACAAAACCGAGGAAGTTCGAGCTGATGTGGGCCATTGGTCCAAAGACATAACCGGAGATATTTACGAAGCTGGTTGGATTAGCGAAATGTACGGTTACTCCTTTGCTGCGGCAGAGGTAATTCTTTTTTTTTTTTTTTTAATACATCCATTATTTAAAAATGGTTAGATTTGCTTAGTAATGCATAATTTTTTTGGGTAAATTACGAGAAACCCCTTGAACTAAGGTCAGTTTACAAAAAAAAACCCGTTACCTATCCATAATTACCAAAAAACCCCTGAAGTTAGTTGCCGTCTTACATTTTGACGGAATCTTTTTTATTCTATGGAATATTCTTTAAAAATTACCGAATTTACCCTAAGGGGTATTTGTAGTATATTTTTGTTTTTAATAAAATATGAGTTTTATTGTTTGTTGTCGTCTTACATTATCATAAACTTTGACGGAATCTTTTTTATTCCATGGAATATTTCGCAAAAAAAATTGCCAATTTTACCCTCGGGCTAATTCCAATATCTTTTTTAAGTAAAATATGACCGTTTTGTACTAGTTGTGTATGAGGAGTTTTATTGTAATGTTTTATCATTTAAGAGAGTTGCTGATCGTGATCTTTTGGGTGTTTGACCGTATTTGATAATTCCCGTGCAGATGAATTTGCGGCACGTTATAAGCAAAGATATGTTGATATACCCGGGGTATAATCCCGTGCCCGGTGTGAACTATAGAGTGTTTCACTACGGCTTGGAATTTAGGGTTGGTAATTGGAACTTCGACAAAGCTAAGTGGAGACGCATGGATATCGTCAACAAATGTTGGGCCAAGTTTCCCGACCCGCCCGACCCGTCGACGTTAAAACGGGCCGACGAGGATTCATTCCAACGCGATTTGCTCAGCATAGAGTGCGGAAAAGCTTTAAACGAAGCTTTACAAAGTCACTACGAAAGACGAAAATGCCCCGACCCAAATACGTTGTCCAATCCCGTTCGAGAACAAGCCAAACCCGCCCCTAATCCTCCTTCCTTATCCCCTCCGATTCGGAAAAAGACCCCCGAAATTACTTCTTTGCCCCCGCCGGACCGTGGCCCCCTCAATGAAATAACTGCCTCGAGGAAAATTGGAAAGATCGATGATGTGGATGATGCTTTGACGCATGAAGACGTGGCGGTGAAGAACGAATCTCGAGAAATAACGCCGCCAATAGAAACCAACGAAAATCAAACGTTCGGTTTTATGAGATTTTGGATAATTGGGCTTTGGGGGTTCTCGATTCTGTCCTTTTTTGTGGTGATGGCTATGATGATTTCGAGGCAGAAGGGGCAGAGGAAACGGAGTAAAG